CCCCCCCCCTTATGCCCCGTATTGGTATCGTGTCTAAACAAAATGAACTCCCAGAGTTTGTATGTATGTATTGTATAACGCGTAGGCTACATGCTATAATTTGATAAAATCATAAAATATAAAAAATGACGTACAGGTAGAAAAGGGAAGGACTGATAGTGCTGAAAAATAAAGAAAAAAAGGAAAAGTGAAAAAGGGAAAGGAAAGTTGAAAATTAAGAAAGTGAATGAATGAAATACAAAAAAAGAATATATTTGACAAAGAAAATAATCAAAAAAAAATAAAAGTTAGGAAATTAAAGATAATATAAAAAATGTGAGATATCCTTGACCCCTGTTAAAATACTTTTTAAAAAATCGGTTTTTTTGTTTTTATTTATTTGTTTTTCTTAAGATCACTGGAGATACATGCAACCTACATATACAGTTTTCCTTACGGCTCTCACACGTCCTTGCAAGGTTGCGTACGTGTGTTTGTGCGCGCGTATGTGTGTGTGTGTGAGCGCGTAGTTTGTGTGCTTCTCAATGGAATTTCTGAACCCTTCTCCCGGATCTTTTAAACCTGTATACACACATACACACAACTAGACACACAGACAATTAGACAAACAAGCACCTAGACGTTTCTACGGACAAACATACAACAGCAGTGAAATCTCATAGTACAAACAAGAAGATAGATGAAATTCTAAGCCAGGTCCCGTCAAACTTAAATTTAAGATTTTATTTTAAAAAATATTTTCGTTAAATATCCCCTGCAGAGGTAGTGAGTGCATGAATACTTTTTAGTTGAAGTACTACTCATATACACTCTACATTCTACACTCTACACTCTACACTCTACACTCTACACTCTACACTCTACACTCTACACTCTACACTCTACATTCTACACTCTACACTCTACACTCTACACATTTTAGTTGTAAAAGATATTGTAATAACCCCCATATCTTGGAAACCAAAACCTAAATGTATATATATCATGCTGTAATCACCTGACCGTACTATCGGTTAGTTTTAATTTTTTCCTTATACACAAATATAGTCTAGTTGGATATGAACTCTGTTATATTATGGAGAGTTGTATCTTGATAGATACATACTTAAGAATACAGAGAGAGTTGTATCTGGATTGATACATAGTTAAGAATACAGAGAGAGTTATATCTGGATTGATACATTAGTTAAGAATACAGAGAGAGTTGTATCTGGATTTATACATACTTAAGAATACAGAGAGAGTTGTATCTGGATTGATACATACTAAAGAATACAGAGAGAGTTATATCTGGATTGATACATAGTTAAAAATACAGAGAGAGTTGTATCTGGATTGATACATACTAAAGAATACAGAGAGAGTTATATCTGGATTGATACATAGTTAAGAATACAAAGAGAGTTATATCTTGATTGATACATAGTTAAGAATACAGAGAGAGTTGTATCTGGATTGATACATAGTTAAGAATACAGAGAGAGTTGTATCTGGATTGATACATACTTAATAATACAGAGAAAGTGTATCTGGATTGATACATACTTAAGAATACAGAGAGAGTTATATCTGGATTGATACATACTTAATAAAACAGAGAAAGTGTATCCTGATTGATACATACTAAAGAATACAGAGAGAGTTATATCTGGATTGATACATACTTAAGAATACAGAGAGAGTTATATCTGGATTGATACATACTTAATAATACAGAGAAAGTGTATCCTGATTGATACATACTAAAGAATACAGAGAGAGTCATATCTGGATTGATACATACTTAAGAATAAAGAGAGAGTTATATCTGGATTGATACATAGTTAAGAATAAAGAGAGAGTTGTATCTGGATTGATACATACTTAAGAATACAGAGAGAGTTATATCTGGATTGATACATAGTTAAGAATAAAGAGAGAGTTGTATCTGGATTGATACATAATTAAGAATAAAGAGAGAGTTGTATCTGGATTGATACATACTTAAGAATACAGAGAGAGTTGTATCTGGATTGATACATACTTAAGAATACAGAGAGAGTTGTATCTGGATTGATACTCATTTAAGAATACAGAGAGAGAGTTGTATCTGGATTGATACATACTTAAGGAACTATTGGAGTAAGGCATTTGTTACATACTCTTTATCTACTCTTTTAGGTCAATTTCAATTCAAATTCTTGATTTATTTTTTCTATTTTTTTGTGTCTAGCTTTATTCCGTTATGAAATTCATTTAAA